GCTTTGCCATGATGTTTGCCCAGCATGCAAAGTGCAGCCGTGCAATCTGTTGATAGCCATTAACCCAATAAATGCCCTCGTAACATCGATCGATAGATTTGTGATTGTGAATGCCTTCCTCTATTTATAGTTTTCCATTTGGTTTGCCCTGAAATTACCGGTCGATTTTCAGCGCTGATAAGATGTTATTCCGTTGGGAACCGTAAAATGGGAACTGGGTGACCTTCTGTTTAAACATAACTAGGTCTTGGCGCCCTTCTTATCAGGAGTATATGGGTGTAGTTGTACAGTTGAGCCTGGAATGTTGGGACCTTGCACTTGGCTGATCATTGCGGAAATTCACGACCAAACTGGTTTTCCAATCAAATCCATAATTCCACTCTTTTAGCCACTGCGATTATTACTCTTCTCTGCTTTATTAAGCTCTTTAAGCTGCTTAACTTTTTAAGCTTTGGATTAGTATCCCTTCTTTTTATTCCAATTATCTTGATTAATATTAAAATAAAAGATATTTTATGATAGTTAGATCCCAACCTCTATTATATTCCTCATTAATAAAGACCATGACTCATATTAAAAATTACACGTTGTAACTTAATTCCTTCATTTTCATTTGTGCTAATAAACTGAATTGCAAACCAATTAACTTATGACATCCCCTCAATTTTTTTGTAGCGCGTCTACTACCTGTCGCTGGAGTACTACATGGGTCGCTCCCTGACCAACACCATGATCAACTTGGGCATCCAGAGCGAGTGCGAGGAGGCCATGTACCAGCTGGGTCTGGACATTGAGAATCTCGAGGAGATGGAGGAGGACGCCGGTCTGGGCAATGGTGGTCTGGGTCGCCTGGCCGCCTGTTTCCTTGACTCGATGGCCACCCTCGGTCTGGCCGCCTATGGCTATGGCATCCGTTATGAGTACGGTATCTTCGCCCAGAAGATCAAGAACGGTGAGCAGGTGGAGGAACCCGATGATTGGCTACGTTATGGCAACCCCTGGGAGAAGGCACGTCCCGAGTTCATGCTGCCGATTAACTTCTACGGCCGTGTGATTGACACGCCCGAGGGCAAGAAGTGGGTGGACACCCAGAGGGTGTTTGCCATGCCCTACGACAACCCCATTCCCGGATACAACAACAACCACGTGAACACGCTGCGTCTGTGGTCCGCCAAGTCGCCCATTGACTTTAACCTGAAGTTCTGTAAGTATCTAATGGGTTATGTGATTTCTTAATGTCAAGTTAAGGCTTTAGCTTGTTAACTGTCGGAGAGAATTAACCTCAAGTTAAATCCAAATTCGATTTCTCAATGGGATGTTAATTTTACGAACGATATGTTTTTAGAGTCTGTTGTCTGTTTAGTGGGAATTTTGGTCTAACCTCTAGTTAACTTAGCGACAAAATTTAACCTTACATTGAGAAATCGGCCCTAATGGGATATCTGCCGATTTTTCAATGTGAGGTATACTGTCACAGAAAGTTAACCTGAAGTTTTCTCAATTTGTTAACATAAAAAAAAAAACTCTAGTTAACTCAACGACAAAAGTTAACATGACATTGAGAAATCAACCCTAAATAAAGCTTAAATAAACCTTTCTTAATCCACCCTTTCCAGTCAACGATGGTGACTACATCCAGGCCGTGCTCGATCGTAATCTGGCCGAGAACATCTCCCGTGTCCTTTACCCCAACGACAACTTCTTCGAGGGCAAGGAGCTGCGTCTGAAGCAGGAGTACTTCATGTGCGCCGCCACGCTGCAGGACATCATCCGCCGCTACAAGGCCTCCAAGTTCGGTTCCCGGGAGGCGGTGCGCAACACCTTCGATCACTTCCCCGACAAGGTGGCCATCCAGCTGAACGACACCCATCCGTCGTTGGCCATTCCCGAGCTGATGCGCATCCTGGTCGACGAGGAGCATCTGACCTGGGAGAAGGCATGGGACATCACCGTGAGGAGCTGCGCCTACACCAATCACACCGTTCTGCCGGAGGCCCTGGAGCGCTGGCCCGTCTCCCTGCTGGAGTCGATCCTGCCCCGTCATCTGCAGATCATCTATCACATTAACTTCCTGCACATGGAGAATGTAAAGAAGAAGTTCCCCGAGGATCTGGACCGCATGCGTCGCATGTCGATGGTGGAGGAGGATGGCGAGAAGCGCATCAACATGGCCCATCTGTCGATTGTGGGCTCGCATGCCGTCAACGGTGTGGCCGCCATTCACTCGCAGATCCTGAAGGACTCGCTGTTCCGTGACTTCTATGAGATGGATCCCCAGAAGTTCCAGAACAAGACGAACGGCATCACCCCGCGTCGTTGGTTGCTGCTCTGCAATCCCGGCCTGTCCGATCTGATTGCCGAGAAGATCGGCGACGAGTGGCCAGTGCATCTGGACCAGCTGGTCGCCCTGAAGAAGTGGGCCAAGGACCCGAACTTCCAGCGCAACGTGGCCCGCGTCAAGCAGGAGAACAAACTCAAGCTGGCCGCCATTCTGGAGAAGGACTACGGCGTCAAGATCAACGCCTCGTCCATGTTCGACATCCAGGTGAAGCGCATCCACGAGTACAAGCGCCAGCTGCTCAACTGCCTGCACATCATCACCCTGTACAACAGGATCAAGAAGGATCCCACCGCGAACTTCACACCGAGGACAATCATGATCGGTGGCAAGGCCGCTCCCGGTTACTATGTGGCCAAGCAGATCATCAAGCTGATCTGCGCCGTCGGCAATGTGGTGAACAACGATCCCATTGTCGGTGATAAGCTGAAGGTTATCTTCCTGGAGAACTACCGCGTGACCCTGGCCGAGAAGATCATGCCCGCCGCCGATCTGTCCGAGCAGATCTCCACCGCCGGCACAGAGGCCTCTGGCACCGGCAACATGAAGTTCCAGCTGAACGGTGCCCTCACCATCGGCACTCTGGACGGTGCCAATGTGGAAATGGCCGAGGAGATGGGTCTCGATAACATCTTCATCTTCGGCATGACCGTCGATGAGGTGGAGGCCCTCAAGAAGAAGGGCTACAATGCCTACGACTACTACAACACCAACCCGGAGGTCAAGCAGGTCATCGACCAGATCCAGGGCGGCTTCTTCAGCCCCGGCAACCCCAACGAGTTCAAGAACATTGCCGACATTCTGCTCAAGTACGACCACTACTACTTGCTGGCCGACTACGAGGCGTACATCAAGGCCCAGGATCTGGTGTCCAAGACCTACCAGGTGAGAGAGTGCTCTATTTTCAAGGAAGCGTAGAGTAGAGTATTTACTTTCTGCGGTGACTCAAAATTTAAAATTTTAAGACTGATTTTTTAGGCATTAAAATTTTAATTTTTATTTATATTAAATACTTACTTTCCTATTAGTATTATTTGCGAATTTCGGTTTTTGGTTTTAGATTTTTATGTCAAGCCGTTTTGGCTGCATGACAAACTTGCCGATTTTTGGGGGCTCTATTTTATTAGTATAAATTAATATTTTCTTCGTTAATTTTTTTAAAACCCCTCTTCTATCGATCGAATTCCAGAACCAAGCCAAGTGGCTGGAGATGTCTATCAACAACATTGCGTCCAGCGGCAAGTTCTCGTCGGATCGCACCATCGCCGAGTACGCCCGCGAGATCTGGGGCGTTGAGCCCACCTGGGAGAAGCTGCCAGCGCCGGAGGATCAGCCACAGAACTAAATCAATTTTCGATATTATTTTATTATTTATGTGCTTTACTTTTGTTAAAGTCAAAGTCCAATTTTAGGCGCCAAAAGCAACAACTAAAACTAACCAACTAAACATGGGCCACAGCCCCCGAATTGTTAATATTTTATTAAATAAAAATCCAATATAAACAATTCAATTAGTTCTCTCATCACTGTGGAAACGAATCAACAACACCAACAACGGTACCTACCTAAAAAGACCTCAGGAACACTTTCAAAGTAAAAGAAAAACAAAATTGAAAAACAATTAAAAACAAGAAAGGAAGCTACCTTCGGCCAGCCGAAGCTTATATACCCTTGTAGATAAAAGAATACTCACTCGGTGCAGTTCCAGGGATTCCAGATTCAGCGTTTCGATTTATTTCAATTTTGTTTTTAAGTAGTCAAGAATCAAAACGCCTACTTCCTACAAAGTTACAATGAATTTTCTTATATTTGATTGGGAGCCTTAAGATATAGTGGTCCGATCCGGCTGGCTCCGACATATGTACTACCTGCAATAGAAAGAAGACCTTCGGGAAAGTTTCATCGCGATAGCATTAAAACTGAGAGACTAGTTCGCATAGAAACGGACAGACGGACAGACGGACAGACGGACAGACGGACAGACGGACATGGCTAGATAGACTCGGCTATTGGTGCTGATCAAGAATATATATACTTTATGTGGTCGGAAACGTCTCCTTCACTGCGTTGCAAACATCTGACTGAAATTATAATACCCTCTACAAGGGTATAATTAATGGAAAGAATTATGATAAACGTTAGTGGCAAGCTTGTTTAGATATCGGATATGCGTGTTTTAAATCGAGATTAAACCTCAAGTTCAACTGTTAAATGTAAAAATTAATTTAAATTGAATAAAATTTGATTCGAAATACAAGGCTGGTGTTTTCAGTGGGCCGCGGGGTGGTCAATAAATACAACTGGTATTTTATATCTTAATCTGATTGCAAATATACAACTTTATTATGGACATAAAATCATTGTTTAACACATTTTGAATATATTGTTGGTAATGGAATAGACCTTTCTAAATAAACAAATTTGATGGCTCTTGAAAGTCCCATTAAATGAACACAAATGTTTAGTAATTTTTACAATGTAATTGTTTGGATTTTTTTCGTTTTAAAATAGTCACTAAAAAATTGTAAACATTTCAAAATGATTTTCGCTCTTTGTTACATATTTGCTCCTGATGCATCATAAACTATTCAAAATTCTTTAAAAATTAAACAAAATGCGCTCCACAATGCACAGGACGGGGGAGCAATATCCCCGACTGCATTTAGTAGTTGACTCTGGAGGAGCGAGTCGACTTGCTCACATATTGCCGGTCCTCGCCCCGTGAACTGCTGGCCCCTCCACGCTCTCTATCGAATTTCTCATGTGAACGCTCCCGCGGTGACTTCTCCTAAGGGAATGGTATTAATTTTGGTTATGGCAGAGTTCAAAATATTAGAATATTGTCTAGAAATCTGAACTCACCCTATGCCGCTCTCTATCCCGTATTTCTTCTTCACCATTTTGTGCTGAAAATTGTTCATTCTTGAATGTCTTGAATAGCCGGTAAATGATTCTTCTCTCACCTTCGCGCCGGCGCTTATGTTCGTTGCTATTCGACTCCTCGGTGCGATCGCGCTTCCTCCCCAGCTTGCGATCCTTGCGCGCATCTCGCTCCTCATCCGACAGCTTGTCCTTGTTACGCTCTTTGGTCTTGAGGCCGCGAGCCTTCTTCACGCTGTCCACCAGTTCCTCCACCTTCTGCAACGGCACAGGATTAATGGTTGTAAAAACATATGGAAATATTCGCCTCCGCTACAACTTCACAAAGTGTTTGGGTCTAACTACTTAAAACTGGAACAAAAACCGAAAACAGTTACGCCTGCGTCTGTTTAGTGTCCTAAGTCTAATATGGTTTATAAGTCCGTCGGCCCCACCACGCGCCCATCACTTACCCGTGCACAGTCTCAACATCAACGAATTAACAACTAAACTGGGCTGCACAGGTAACGGCAGGTAGGTAGGTAATCTGAGTCGCGGCAGAAGAAAAAGATCCACTGGGTTTCGTCCGCATTTCGGGGATGTCCGCATTGAAGATGTTGATGGATTATTAATGATGATCGGCAGCAAATATTTCAAATATTCCTTTATATGATATTTAGATGGCAGTATCCACTTATAATAATGTTGATTATTCATGTTTCCAGTTGGCAATCGAAATATTGGTCCGCAAAATGGTTTTATCGTTTGAGGATTTGGAATGTTTAAGTAAAAGGTTATCCAAAATTTGTTCCATTTGAAATGTATAAGTATAAGGTCATCCAATATTGGTTTTACGTCACTCCAGATTATTGATATTGTTGAATATAGATGAAATAGTCGTTTTTTACTGTAGTCGTTTAACTTCTGTAGGCTCCATAAAAAGATGAACTTCCTTTTGGAAAGATTCGATGGGAATTTGTTTCAGTTTTTTTTTTATCGATCAGCTTGATCGATCATCACAAATTAGCAAAGTGTTGATAATTTAAGTACATGCTTTTGGAACTCCGTTAGTTTTTGTTGCAGTCTTTTTAGCCATATTACTCCAGAATATTTTTGGGTTATTCGTACGTTATATTGAAGACTTTTTTTGTGATGTATGGCAATTGCAGTTATTGATGATTTGGCTTGCTGATTTTCTTAAGTATTTTTTCCTTTGTAGATTCCGTAAAAAGTATCCAGAACAGATAACGTCGTTGATTTCTTCTTCATTTCAATTTAAGGGCTTTTTTTTTAAATTCCTTCGTCGTAAACTTTTTCTTTGATAGAATATCCTCCGCGCTTCCAGTGAGATTCGTCTTTTGGCATTCGATTGTCGTCTTCATGGTCCCATTACTCCAATTCGGTCCGTTAATTAAACAACTACTCTTAAACTATTACAATTAATTAACAAAATTGAATATAAAAAAAATGTTTTCCTTCTTTTTAAAAATAACGATGATCCTGTCACATTGGTCTAAAAAGTTTCACTTTTCGCTTATGTCTTAGCTTAAAACTAACACCCCGTAGTAAACTACATTTGATACTTAGAACTAGGGAATTTCGCAGATGAGAATGAGATCCACCGCATCGAGCATCAGTTTATATGTTTTGATATTTTGATGGGTGGTGGGTTCGTTGCTGATTTGTTGATTTTGAAGTTGCAGAGTAGAAGATGGTGTTGCAAATCGGGTAAAGTCTCCCTGGCAAACTCAGAACTTCGTGTAGTTGCCCCTCCAGATTGGATCGTCATCGTTGTGTTGTGTTACTTTTGTTGATGTCTTAGCGTACTTATGTCTGCAACCATATGCTACTAACCTTTGAACTGCTGGTTGACGACTCCAATTTGCGACGCTTTGAATCTACTAAAGGTTTAGGGGTTACTAATCAAATTTCCTTCTAAAATCTTCTGATAATTTACTTACCTTTTTCGTATTCAATTGTCTCATGGCTACGTTGCCGATGCTGCATTGAACCGTTGCTTTCGTTGGACACTGAACTCAAATCTCTCATCCGTCCCTCGAACTCCTCGTAGTGGCGATTATCGGTGCTGCCCACCAGATCAACCGTTTCGACGCCATCTCCGTGCCGATGGCGATCTTCACCGCCGCGACGCGATGATTTCTCGCGCTTCCGCTGCTGCGCCTCCAACTCCTCCAGACGCTGGGAGCGCTCCCGCGACCGCTGATGCTGTTCGGCCTCAGTTCGCGGCTCCTTGACCCTAACCGCATCCCTGGTGCTCCGATGGCTACTCAGGCTGCCGTGACGCTGCTCGTGCTGATCCTGCCTGTCTCGCTCTACATCGCGATTGCGACTTTCGCTCTGTCGGCTGCCATTGCTACCGTTGTTGGTCTGCTCCAGCTGCTCATCCTTGCTGCGCGACTGGGATTCCCGTGGCGCTGGTAAATCACGCTGCTTGCTCTCACGATCGTTGTTGGAAGCCGTCGAGGAGGCTGTGGAAAGCACAGGGACGCTGTTGCCCTCGCTTTTCAGGCTCTTCGATTCGCGGAGGGGAGCTAAAAAGATTTTTTAATTAATTAAATTAATAATTAAATTTGAATTATTTTCTTAATATTTATTAGAGCCCTGCATGAATGGATTCAATGAATTATTTTGAATTTTTTTATTATATAAATGAATTAATTAGAATTTGAGTTAATTGAATGAATGGCATGAATTCCAAAATAATTTAAGCGACAATTTCTTTTGAAGAAAGGGCCATCATTTTGTGATTTAATCTGCCTGAATTTTATTTGATTTGTTAAAAATTTTTCACTTTTTGTTCCTAAAATAAAGCACAAAAAAAATCTGGCAAATTCAAAAAATTCATAAAAATTATTCATTGATTCATTCAATTCAAAATGAATTAGAAAAACATTCAGTTCATTTCACATTGAATTGAATTAAACAAATCAGAAATTTCATGGCACACTATGATGAAACAAAAATGGAATGATTCACGCAGGGCTCTAATATCTATTAATATTTCCTCACCTGCTTTAGCCTCTGGCTCCTTGGTGCCCGACTTTTGTTCGTTGTTGTAGAACGGAGCAGCTGAGCCGGCGACCTTAGTCGCTTGTGCAATCAGTGGCGGCGATATGGGAGATAATTTCTCCGTTTTAATGCCAGCGCTGGGAGCACCAGCACTGGCTGGCGACTCCTTTGTGGGCCGCTCGGCCATCTGGTGGAAATCGCTCTCCTTGAGCATGTGCGCAGTCTTCAGCTTCAGCTGACCAATATAGCTTGAGGCAATGACATACAGATCCGGCCGCTTAGTCTTCTCCTCCTCGCGCACCTTGTCCACCTTGCGCTCGATGATTTGCGCCAATTTGGCAAGAACAGGATAGTGGGGCAGGATTCGCATCAAGATAATCAGTGCATTTCGAATCTGCATAAAGTCCTTGGAGTCCAGGCAAAAAACAATCGCTTTGGTGATCTTGTAGTGCCACTTGTGACACACATGGCGATAGTTCTCGTAGCCGACGTGATCGTTGGCCTCTGAGAACTGATTGCTCACACGGAACTTGGTCACGAAACCAGGATAGTTGGCACACTCCTTGTTGAAAACTGCCTGATCCGCATGCCAGCGCATCACGGTCTCCAGCATGGCGCACAGGAAGCGACCATATCGCGTGGCCTCGCCCTCCGTGCACGAAGTAACCGAATAGGTGATGTCGCAGAAGATCTGTAAGGTAAAACCATGTGTAAGTTATGTAAAAATCTAACCAAATGTAGTATGATTTACCCTATCGTAGCACAGCAAAGTGGAGAAGTTCGAGGTCTTCAGGTTGTGTATGGCGTGCACGAACTTGGCGCAGTACAATGCATCCAAGGCTGTGAAAGTGCAACGCGGGAAGAGGCAGAGCTGCAGGAACTGTGTGATTGTGTCGTTCTTGGCCGACTTGGCAGATCGGAGCAGGAACCAACTATCCTTTTGCTCCTGCAGCCGCTGCGAGATCTTGTCGACGTGCTCATGCTGCTTCTTGCGCTCGTCGTTCAGCTTCTCCATTAGCGCAATGTAACGCTCCTGCTCCTTCTTGTTCTTCGATTGATTCGAGTCCTTGCCCTCGGCCGCCTGCTGTGCCAGCTGCTTCAGCTTGCCAATCTCGCGCTGATAGCTGTCGTTTGGAACGTGCAAATCATACATGCTCAGACTCCAAAAGGTGACCAGAAACTGTGGACTGATGTCCTCCCACACCTTGGCGCTGTGCAGAGGTCGAACTGACTCGACAATCGGATTCATTATCAGCTGCGTGGCCTCCAAATACTTTTGCAACTTTTGCGTCGTGGTCAGCTTCTTGGCATTCGGATCAGCCTTGCGCAACTGATCGTATTTTTGCTGCAAAGAGTTTAAAGGTAAAAAAAGTGCAAACAAAAATAAAGTTTGCCCGCCATACATTAATTTGATGCGTGAACATGGGCCTGGCCAGGAAGAAGGCCACATCTGTATTGATGTGATACTCCCGCAGCATGGTTATAATCGAGGGCAGCCGCTCCACATACTCATCCACCGAATAGGTGGACCCCAGGAAGGTGCCAAACTGGACGAGCGTGTCCTGGCACTGATCATACAGATTTCCTACCAACTTCAAGTGACTGTGCGCCGCCGTTTCGCGATAAATGACGCAGTGCTTCTGCTGGGCCATCAACAGGCAAATGGCCACGGCGAGATCATTGTTGGCCAAGGCCTCCTTCAGGCGATTAGAAGACTTTTTCGTATTCCTCACTTGACTGAAGTAACCAGCCTGTAATAGGAAATGCTTTAAAATATGGCCTTTAAAGGATAGTTGTATATTTACCTCTCCCCTGAGCTGCTCGCCACCACACATGGCCTGCAACTGATCGTTAGTCATCTCCTCACAGGACTCTACACCGGCCATCTTGTGCACAATCTCTCGCAAAATCAGTAAATCCAGGCTCTTCTGTGACTTCAGCTGATTGGCCACGTACTGCAGCAATCCACTCAGCTCGATGCTGTACTTCTTGTAAATGGTGCCGCAGAAAGAGGCGAGGCTCTGAAGCCACAAGGATAAGGAGGTGCCATCATCCTTGAACCTGAGACGACCCGTCAACGTCAGCGACTCGATGATGCAGTAGCCCAGACAGTCGAAGGAGAGGGCAGTAAGATACTTGAGCATGTCGCAAACGGGCCCGATGAGATTGTCATAGATCTGAATTTGCAAAAGAATCTGTTGAAAGAGAAGTCGAAATTAAGAAAAGTTATATTTGTATAATAAACTATATTAAACTTACATAGTCAAACAGCAGTCCTGGGGCACAATGGCTGTATTTGCCCACCAGGCGACCCAGCTGCTTAACGTTCTCCTTGCTCACTCGCTTCATCAGCGCCTTGATATCCCGCTGAGCCAAACCGCAACGCCTGATCAAATTCGGATGCAGCTGGTAGCTGTCGTTTTTCCAGCGAGCATACAAACTGTAACGGAAATGGTACGGGAAATACTTGAGCACGGCCCAAATCTCCTCGGACATCGAGCAGTTGTTGTCCAAGTAGAGAAGCGAGGGTAAAATGCAGGCATCCAGCGAGCTCATTATGTCATAATAGTGCTGCTCCGCCTCCGAATTGGGAGGCGGTCCATTAAGGCTATCCACGCCCATCTCCACTACCAATTTCCGCATAATCCGAATGAGCTTGTACATCAGCACTGTGTCGTAGTGCATGGCTGGGCCCAAGACATTCGCCATTGGCCAGGTATACTTCCGCAAATCGCTGAATTCCTTTGCCTGCATCTTGGCCACCAACTTGGAATCGTCGTACAAACGATTTCGACTCTGTCTTCTTCCAGCGGGCGCTTTAAAACACTTTTTGTAGTAGATGTTCTCCACGGAGAGGTGAATCAGATCGGCAATGGCACGGGCAATTGGCTCCTGGAGTACAACCGCCTGCTCCGGCAGCTTCTGGATGATCTTGTAGGCATTCTCCCAGTCACCCACTTTAAGTAGAGCCTCGCAGAGGCCAAACTTTTGATTGACATTGTATTTTTCCTGGGTAAAAAAGGCAATTTTAGTAGAATTCTCTTTTGCAAGTATTTGCACACTATACCTCATTGAATTTCTTAACCGAGGGCGGCGGCGGCGGATCCTTTTCGTCCTCCTTCTTATTAGTTTGAATGAGGTTAAGCTTGCGCACCATTTCCCTGGCATCGGCCAACTCCTCCTCCCAGTCCGCCTTAATGCTCCCATCGTTTGGAGTCAACCACACATACACATCATTCAGTTCAATTACGCCGTGCTTCAGCAAAAGGGCGCACACATGATACAAAGAGCGTGGAGTGCGGGAGTCCTTAAAGTGGCAGAACTTGTAGCCGAGGACCTCGCAAATTATGGCACCGGTGGGCATGTAGCTGCGCAGCAGGGGAATGAACAAGTTCCAGCGATCCGGGCGGGTCTCAAATGACTCGATAATAATGTCCAGCACGCGATTGGGATCCAGATTAAAGCAGCCTATGAAAAGGAAATAATTAATATAAAATATAAAGCTCTATAGAAGTTTACAACAAAAATAATACCTATCAGGGATTTAATGATGTCCATAATGCTCTCTGGCGTGGTTGTCTCATCGAATTCCTGATTGAGCTCTGTTATAAGCTTGGCAAAGCCCTCGCTCTCCTCACGGAAAAGATTAAAGCGACGCTGCTTGTAGCTTAAAAAAGGAAGGGGGTATTTAATAATTTATAAACCTCAAATTACTTTGATAATACATACTACAACTTGGTTTTGACCTTAATGAACTTGGAATAAAAGCTCTTGTTCTTCACAATGCCCGCCTCCTGTAGCGTGTCAATTTCCAAACGCTCCTTTAATAGACTTTCGGGCACCACCTTGTCCAAGTCCTTGACAAGTTGCACAAAGGCATGTCGCACCTCTTGAAAGTCATCGGTAATGAGAGAGGTTTCGCTGTCCAGAATGTTTATCACGTCCACTATAAGGCTGGGAAAGTCCGCATGGAGAGCCTGGAATATAATATAAACATAAATTTAATATTTAAGAGGGTAGCAATAGAGTGTATCACTTTATAATAAGCAGGGTTAATACATGAACCTTTTTTTTCTAATAGGTCTTCAAGAATTTTTTTTATTTTTTAAGCCAATATGGCTTTCTGTTCTTTTTGTATTCAAGCGTAAATATATTTGTAGTTGTTCTCCAAATTCACTAATTTATACACACTTTGTGAGGAAATAGGTAAAATTTTTGAAATGAAAAAAAAAAAATTTTTTTTAATAAAAATGATCTAAAGTTTCTGATTGAAAGTACTTAGTATTCGAGATTTTTATTCTTAGATATTTGAGTTAATATTAAAAGAAATTAGATTTCTGCTTTGTTTCTGAAAATCATCATAATCAAAATATAAATTTCTTAGTAACACATAAGAAGCCCTATAAAGTTTTCCCTAGTTCTTTCGTTACTTTCCCACTCACCACGACTTCCAGGAGCAGATGGAGCACCAGGTCCTTCTTGTGGGTGTGGCGCAGGGCCTGCCAGAGGAGCTGGTAGATGGCATGCGAGATGCCCTGCTTGAACTCGCCGTTCTGGTCGTAGACGGGCGTATCGGCCGCATCCTGCAGCTGCTGCTTGAGGTACTTCAGGCTAGAAGTAAACGTTTAATTTAGCTAGTGGGAACAGTAGTTGTGGTGGGAACACAGTGGGTCCAAACAGTCGACACAAGAGCGCGCGAATATCCAGAAGCAGCAGCAGGACACAAACTGACGGCAGCCACTGTTCTGCGAGTGCGTGTATGTGTGTGTGCGCGTGCATATACATATATATCTCTGGCTGCGTCTGTATCGGTGTCTGAGCGTGGAAGTGGAACCCCACACACACGTACAATTCGCTCCGTCCGGATTTGTCAAAGTGCTTGAAGATGTCCAGATTCAGGGAGCCGGGATCCTTGTTGCCCGATCCGCCGCCTGCTCCTCCGCCGTTTGTGTCCGACGATTCGGATGTGCGGCTCTCCGCCGTCGGCGCTCCGTCACCGCCGCCGCCACTCGCATCCTGCGTTCCCGTAACGCTCTTCAGCTTCTTGAGCCGCCGAATCCGGTCTGTGGATCTCTGCATCCTCGGATCAGGTGGAACACGCGGGCGCTTTGCTACGGGTGCTGATTTTTGCTCCCGAATCGATCAAAACGCTGTACTTGTCGGAATATTTTACAAAATTTTCACACTTTTATGTTGTGCCACAGTGTGACCGTTCCGCGATCCAACCGAAATGCCAGGCGGCGAAATGCAAATGTCCTACTTCTTCCCAATTCAGGTGACCTTTTATTTTGGTACGCTTGATATGGAACACCAAGTGCAAATATATTTTTGAAATGTTTTTCAAAACGTTCTTTATGACTTGGAACTTTTTGATAATGAGTATGAGTCATACATGTAAGTTATGACTGGTTTCAACTTTATTTATCACTCGAATACAATTTTTTTTCAATTAAACCCAATTTAACTACATTTTCGTAACCCTTTGAAATTTGAACTCAACCCAAATAAATTCAAAATTTGAATTTCAAATAGTATGAAGCTATATAGAGATAGCTGTATGTTTTTATCATCTGAACTGTGTTCCTTTTCCCAAATTCTAAGAAATCTCCCACCTCAAGTCTGTTTTAAATTTATTGACCTTTTTTATACATTTGTATGCGCATATAATTAGAGAATCTCTTGAAATGCAATCTTAAATCTAACCAAATTCAGGAAATCTACAGATGTGCATTTGCATCCCACCAGGCTCAGACTGCGGAAATGTTTAAGCAATGATTAATTGTTTTAAAAATGGTACCAAATCGATAAGGTTTTTTGACCTTCAATAAGGACATTATGTCGATAGCTGCCTGTTCTTTAAAGTGCTATGTATTTATATATTTCTGGTCTTAATCTTGAGAATTAACCTTTAATATTTAAAATTTAGCTTTAAAAGGTTACAAATCTGAACACTTTTATTAGATTTACAACTTTTACCCAATACAAAATGAAGTGTTTTAATAGCAAGTGTATACAAGTGAAAAAATGAGCTAATATTATGTATTTATATGATAAAGTATAAACAAAACTTGGGAAACCAAGATCATACTCAAAACTGAGTATGGTTAAAATATAATTATAACAATACAAAAGCCTGATATAAATTGAAGGGGAAATTCTTTAGAATATTCCATGTAAAATCAAGAAATCATAATATAAATTTGGCCGATTGCTAGTGAAAGTAAAATCATAATATAAATTTGGATAGTTGCTAATTAGGTAGTAAGTTGGAAACACGATTCTCAAAGCAGCGGTTCGTTCTCAATCTTGACGTCGCACTCAATCATGGAGCTGTCCACGTAATCGTACGAGGATGGGGATTGCGGGCTACCGTTTTGGTAACTGGAATTCGATAGATAGATAGAACCCTCTAGATGAGAGGCGAAACTGGATTCGGGAGCGGGCGTCAGTCTCGGCAATCCACCTACTCCGCCTGTGCTTTCTGGAACCGCTGTACCTTGCAGCATCTGCTGATCCTCCTTGCGGAGCTCCACCAAAACGCGTGCCATCTCCATGCGAAACTTCAGATTGCTGATGTCTGAAAGCGACTTCAAATGCGGCACCATGCTAAGCATAAAGCTGTAATCCGAATCGTTCTTGGGGACTTCGGCTTCAGCGGCTGAATTTGGCGCAGCCTTGTTGGCATGGCCATTCGAAATGGGGCCATCGTACGAGGACGAGGTCTTCCGGCGACGATACCTCTTCGTGGGCGGCGGTGGTCGTGGCAGGAATTGGCTTGTGTTATTTTGCGGCAAGCGAATGGGCGAATGCAATCCGGGCGAGAGATCCTGGTCGGATCGATAGGCAGGGCCCAAGGGTTTGATCAGCGACCCACCATCTGAGCCCGAATCCTGCGGCAACGAGGATTCCCGCTTGAATATGTCGCCGATGATCTCAAAGTCCACGGAGTCATCATTATCCAAATCCACATCGATGGTAAAGTCCAACAGGCGTGTGGAATCGCAATCCTCCGGCTGTTCGGCATCCAAATCAAAGGCCTCCGGCGGAAAGGGCACCAGACGCTCGGGATCGAAGAGGTGGCGCATGAACTCCAGCGATCGGAAGTACGTCCAGTGGGACATTTGGATGCGCTTCTGCTGGATCTTGCGCACCTCCGCCCGGTAGCTGTCCCGCAATCCCTTGAAGCGCTTCTTGCAGCGGGCAACTGCAAAAGAACCAGGTGTTATTTATAGTTTCCTGGGCTGCCGAGGAACTCACCATCCTGCTGCATTATTTCCGCCACACTCGCCCAGTGGGCGGCTGCCTCCTGGTTGCGGTAGGCCATGGCCATGTTGGTGTCCCACAGACACCGCCGCTTGGCCACCTCGGCTATGAGGCGGAAGTTATCCGACTTCATCATTAACTGGTTGCGAAAAATTTTTAGTGGTTTGTCAACAAATGCCGAGGGCTCCGCGGGCGGTTTGTTGACTTTCACAGCGTTTTTCTCCACCCACCGCGCTCACAGCAAACTGGACGAATGTGTGAGCGGCTCAATAGAATATTATTTAGCTTGGCCAGCAAAAACGAGTTCGCTTTGCCACCTTTCGAATGTAATTAAGGGGAAATAAAAATTTTACTTGCGATAAAATCTTGCAGCTCCGCTTGGCCAATGGCCACTCGAAAAAACGGCACCTGGCAACTCTGTCCCATCAGCTGTTTTGGCGAAAACACCAAAACGGTCACACTGAGCAGGGGGTGGCAACTCTAGGCGAAACAAATGATTCACGAATTGCTTATTTTTTGCCGGCTGGTTGTTTAAAACTGAAATAAATAATTAAACAGCCATGTCGCAGCCCCTGGAGGAGTGCAAGGATGAGGAGCTGCCCGCAAACACGCTGGAGCACTTCACCGAACTGCAGCAGGTGCTGGAGATGATCGAGAACATCAAATCGATTGCGGCTGGGACCTTTGAAAGGGAATTCGAGCAATACGCCCAGGTTTTGTCCCGCTACCAGGAGCAGCCGCACCTGCTGGATCCCCACTTGGAGGAGCTGCTGGGCAAGCTGCTCCAGAAGATTCGCCGGCAGGATTTGGAGACGGGAGAACGTCATGCGGCCTTCAAGTATCTCTATATTATCTCCAAAGTTCGCACCTACAAAGTGTTGGTCAAATTTATGCCCCACGAACTGAGCGATCTGGAGTTTGTCCTGGATCTGCTGGGCCAGCAGGATCCCAAGGAGTTCGAGCAGTGGGAGACGCGCTATATACTCCTCCTTTGGATGTCTATCCTCGTACTGAATCCCTTTCACATGTCAAGACTGGATGCCTATGAAACCAATCCCAATCCCACTAGCAACTGCATTTCCATCAACCATGTCCAGTCGAAGAGCACCAAGATGGAGCGCATCTTCGAGCTCATCCAGCTGTATGTCTCCTCCAACGACACCTGCAGCAGCATGGCTGCTTATTTGGCCGCCAAGTACTTCATTCGCAGCGACATCAAGGATCTGTATCTAGAGAGATTCCTCGATTGGATCATGGAGCAGCATCAGGCGGATACGGTGAATGTCAAGTTTGGCCAACTGGCTGCCGTGGCTGCCATTTTAAAGCACGGCAAGCGCGAGGATCTGCTGCCCTATGCGGACAAGCTGCTCCAGTGGATCACCTCATGCCAGTACAAGGAGGGCAACGACTTTCTCAAGTACAAGAACTATGTGAAAATCGTTCAGAGAATCGGACTGGTGCACCTGAAGCCGAGGATTGCCAGTTGGCGGTACAAAAGAGGTGGGTTTGGGTGGTTATATCCAGGGTTCGGAATTTAACACACATGTAAAATTGAATTTTACAGTGTGAGTAAAGTTTTTTACATATGTGTCAAAATCAAAAGTGTTAAAATATGAAAAACAATTGTTAACACACACAGCTCACTTGCGTTTTTTACACAATGTGTTATTAACACGACGTGTTTTTTACACACTGTGTTTTTAACACAAATGAAAATTACATTTTATGGACATTAACGTATCGAAGGGAAAATTAAGAATCAATATACCAGGATATCTTAATTGCTATTTTTAACCGTTTCAAAGCATACATGAATTTTTTCAACTATTTTTTTAGCTCAACATATATTTTAATGTCACATACACGTTGTGTAAAAAACACGCCGTGTTAATTAAAATGTTTCTAACATATGTAACCTACAATTTTTTACACACATGTCAATAACTTTTTTTGAACTTTACACTTTGACATTTAACATGTTTATAACACATGTTTTTTACAGAGTGTCTTATTTTTCTTGAAAACATATTAAATACTCTCCCTTTTCTAGGCACTCGCTCACTGGCCACCAATCTCAGCCAGGCAACTGGAGCGGGAGGTGAATCGGCTGCAATGGAGGTTGCAACCGAGGAAGGCGAGGAGATCCTGGTTCCCGATGCCATCGAGGAGGTGATTGAGGAGCTGCTGCAGGCCCTGCGAAGCGGTGGCAACGATATACGCTGGAGTGCAGCCAAGGGATTGGGCCGGGTCACCAATCGCCTGCCAAAGGAGCTGGCCGACGAGGTGATTGGCTCAGTGATTGACATACTCAGCCCACTGGAGCCCCACGAAGCCTGGCATGGTGCCTGCTTGGCTTTGGCTGAATTGGCCAAAAGGGGATTGCTGCTGCCGCATCGATTGGAGGAGCTGGTGCCGCTCCTCATGCAGGCTCTCTTCTACGATGAAATGAAGGGCTACATGTCGGTGGGTCAACACATTCGCGATTCCGCCTGCTACATGTGCTGGGCCTTCGCCAGGGCCTACAATCCAGATGACGTCAAACCTTTCGTGCACAAAATCTCATCTGGTTTACTCACCGTTGCCGTTTTTGATCGTGAGGTTAACTGCAGGCGTGCTGCCTCCGCCGCTTTCCAAGAAAGTGTCGGCCGCCTGGGCAACTTTCCCTTCGGCATCGAAATCTCCACCACCACGGACTTTTACTCCGTGGGCATTCGGCAGAATTCCTACCTGAACATCAGCGATTACATCGCCCAGTTTGAGGTGTACAGGGAGCCCTTGATTAGTCACCTAGTGCAGCATAAAGTGAACCATTGGGACCCGGCCATAAGGGAGCTGACAGCCAAAGCCCTGCATAAACTTTCTCTAAGGGAACCCGAGTATATGGCCGCCGTGGTGCTGCCACAACTGCTGGCCAAAACCGATACCATCGATATAAATTGCCGACATGGCTGCGTCTTGGCCATGGGAGAGATTACACTGGCGCTGCGGAATCTGGAAAATAAGAGTGATCCACCGGTGGCCTACCTGTCCAATCAAAGGATTGTGGAGCTGAATGAACTAATACAAACGTTCCTGGACAGAAATTGCTATCGCGGAATGAGCGGCGAGCTGATGAAGTCGTGCACTACCAACTACATAAAGAATTGCAGTTTGGCTAAGCTAGAGGCCACAGCAGAGTGTTTGGGTAGGAAAAATGTTTATAGTCTGCCACTAAAGTATATTTAAATATATTTATTTGTTCTAGCTTCCTGGCAAAAGGTCATAGATTCCTGTCTGACCACCAAATCCACCGCCATTCGTGAATCTGCGGTGGAGGCCTTTGGTGAACTGTGTGTTACGTACTACTCTTTGGATTCCAGAAACCAGGAGAACGAAGCCATTATTAATGCTTATTTGCTGGGAGCCGAAAACGATTTGGAGGAGCATATACGCATGGGATACATTGCTGCTCTGGGAGTGCTGCCATCCTTTATGATCCGTCCCCATCTCGCAGCTGTAATGGATAGTTTGGTGAAGCATTCGCTGACTCCCTTGCAAGCGGTTATAGTGGGTGAAATGGGAGATCGTGAGAATATCCAGACATACCGATGGAGCGAGGCGCGAACAGAAAGCGTGAGAGCTTTGACTAAAGTGGTGAAAACTGTAGGATATGAAGGAGGAATCTGTAAGATTTTGGATATAAATATGCATACTTTATATCTTATTATAAATATTATTTTCCAGACTCATTTGCCGAGCCTGCCAACTTCAACAAAGTTATGAAGTGTCTGCTAAAAGCCTTGGACGAATACACCCTGGACAATCGCGGCGATATTGGAGCTTGGGTGCGGGAGGCGGCCATGTCATCGCTCTACGAGATCGTCACTCAGTGTCCGCCTGCTCTGCTCACCTCGGAGCACGTCCATCTGATTGTGGCGGGCTTTATGCAGCAGGCTGTGGAGAAGATCGATCGCACGCGCGGATTAGGCGGTCGTCTCTGCTGCCAGTTGATTCACCATGAGCCCAGGATACCGCATATACGAGAGCATGCGAAACTTTTGGAAATATTCCCCGCCGATGCGGATTCCGTGCTTTGGCTGTTTGCCGATCACACATTCCCGCTCTTCTGTGAGCTGCTCGCTCTGCCGGATTACTCTAAAAGAGTGCTGCTGGGTTTGAGTGCCAGCATTGGTCAATTAACTGAATCTCTGGTGAGTTGGATAAAGGTTTTTCTTAACCATATTGATTAATTAAATATTTCCTTTACAGATTAAGTACGCCTCGAGTGCCCTATTCCAGTTCTTACGTTCCAATCCCCAGACTGTGCCGCGTCTCTGCTCTGAGGTTGTTCAGATCTTCGAGGAGCATTTGCTGAATGAACGCGTAACCTATCCCATGCTCAGTTTCCTGGATATACTCATTGGATCTGGTACCGTGGAGTCGGTGCTTCATGACGAAGCAAATCCCTTTGCAGAGGACATCTACAGACTGCTTAATCTGGAGGTTAAGGGCTACAAGAAGCTCTATAAGACCGCCACCAGCATTAGTGCTTTTTGCCAGCTGCTCCAGGTTCCCCGCTTGTCGCGACGCATTCTGTCAAAGCTCTCAGTATTCCTTGGACTGCAGCATGTCCATGTTCGCAAAACTGCTGCCACAAAATTATACGAAGCGCTGGCTCTGCACGGCGATGTCACCGAAGTGCCCGAGGACAATATGGATGAGATCCTCACGCTGCTCTCGGAAACCGACTGGACCATGCCGCTGGTGGAGGTGCGTCCGCTAAGGAACCAATTGTGCCACCTGATGGACATCAAGGCGCCTGTGAGTGGAGCAGCTGCGGCGGCCGCTTTGCATCAAGCGAATGCGGATAAATGAATTTTCGGCAATATAAGTTAAACTTCACTATGCTTGTATTTCATATTTTTTGCACAATTATACTGACAACGCTTACAGGATGTTTTAAATTTTTTTTAACGAATTTCGGGGGTTTCATATTAGCGATGAGTTCCGATATAATTAATTTTAACAAGCTCTTAACTGTAATAAAATAAATTAAACCATATATCCTTATTACAATTTTTAAAATAAACTACCTATGAAAGTAGTAAATTAAAATTTTTGTTCATCCTAATTTTAAAATTAATTAATTTTTAACTCTTACTTTTTAACGGGTTTTTAGAAATTGCTTAGCGATGAATTCGGATATAAACTTTAATTACATTTGTTAATTTAAGCAAATAAACTTTCTATAAAAGTAGTAAATTGAAATGTTTCATAAATTCTTACATTTTAACGTTTATATTTTATTATACTCTTTTTTTTTTTTGAAAAAGGAAAACAATAAAAAATTGATATAAACTTTATTACTGCAGTTTCCCTTGACTAAATATTCAAATTCATACAGAAAACTATATTCGAAAATTCATGGTGTTTTCCAAGCCGAATCCGTTTCCAAAGGCGTTTGACATTTTACCATTACACGGTCACACTGAGACGGAGCGGAGAAAAAACAACAACAGCAAGACAGGCGAGGGAATGAAAAATAAAAGGAGACGGACGACGGAGAACCGAAAGAAAAGCAAAGCGGGATAAAGGAGTCGAGATCAATTAAACACCGGCCGACTTTACAGGGAGAAATTTGTCATAGAAATTGGTTCTTTTGTAAACAAAACACAGACTCGCCCAACACACACGTTTCTTTCGCACATACGTTACACAATTTGTGGATTGTGGAGTCTCAATTGGTCCGGGAATCCCAGTGTAAATCGCGATGAGTTTTTGGGGTGTCCGATGTCTGACGCAGCGGTTCATCCGGCAGGCGTACATCCTGGCCAACAGGAGGATATTGGGTGCACAGTCGCCGCAGCGATCGCAGCCGGCATACGGTAAGTGAGGTTATGGTTGCCTTTAGGATGCCCAATTCATGTTTTTCTTGTATGTTTACTAATCTCGAGGTTCTCCTCTATTTTAGCTGTTCCAGTTCGTCCAGCGCACAGCAGTCTCTATCAAATGGTAAAGAAACGCACCCTTGAGGCGCGCACCAAATTGCAAGCCAACAAATATCCGAATCAACAAGCCTGCGTCGCCAAACCCTCGACCACGCCCCCCAGCGAGGAGTACGACGTGGTTGTCGAGGGCGCAGCCACTCCCACCTACGCCAATGCCCAGTTTCAAGCCCCATCCCAGTCGGAGCCACTCTTCAAAGTGGTATCCCATCGCTCATCACATGAATCATCCATTTTAGACGGATAAGTTGGGGGATGCAAATCGAGGGAGATCGGGAAACTGTAGTTACCGATCCATTTATCCAAGATCCATAGTTATATTTACCAGATTAGCTAGAATTACTCGTAATATCACTGTTCTTCAAGCAAGTTATATATTATTTTCCTTTATGGATCGTCAAAATATGTTTTTTGTACCGGTATTATCTAAAACTTAAACCATTTTAAATCTTATTATATTTAATTTTCCATTATATATCGCCAGAATATCATTTTTAACCGATATTTTCAAATATCATCCCATAATACCTACTGTTACTAGAAATTTCTCAAAGGTATTGTGAAATTAATATCAAATTTGTTAATTTTAATTTAAAGATCATCAAAACATATTTTTTATACCCCTATTATCTAAAACTAAAACCATCTTAAATCTGGTTATATTTATTTTTCCATTATATATCGCCATAATATAATTCTTAACCGATATTATCAAATATTATCCCATAATACCTACTGTTATTAGCAATTTCTCAAAGGTATTGTGAAATTAATATCATAATTCAAAAGACGATAAAGCTTTTAGCCAAGTTACCAATCCAAAATCAGTTTGCATCCCCTTCTAAAACTCCTACAGACCTTCCAAACTAATATATTGTTCCATTTTCAGGGCTTTGCTGATGTCAAGAGCGTCTGCAGTGCCAAGGATGTGCTCAAGTCGGACAGTGCGAGGCTCAGCACCAGTCAGCCTGTCCTGGACTCCTGCAAACCGTCAAAAGCCTGTGAGGAGTTCCAGCGCAAACGCAAGGAGACAACCTGCCAGCCTTGCAACGAGGATGGAACTGCTCCGGGTGGCAGTGGTGGCGGCGATGAGGAGTGCGAGTGCCGGATGAAGGACCTGCGATTAAAGTGCCTGCTGGGAGCGCTGGCTGCCCTGTTAGCCGGTGGATTGGTATGTCTACAGCCGATATTTCAAGGAGTTCACCTCTAATTTCTGGCCAACCTTGTAGCTCGCCTGGTTCATGACGCGGGACACGGACGACAGTGAAGCCAAAAAGGCCCAGGAAGAGGAGGAGGAACGGAAACGTAGATTAATAGCTGGACTAGCTACGAGTAAGTGGGTTTAAGTAAAGATCTTTCTAGACTGGAAAAAATTCGGCATTCGCTTGCAGATAAGCACAATCTATTGCATAGCCCAAAACCGTCATAGCATTACACGCAAATTACAAAATAATTGTCATGTTTCTTATCATAAGCCACTATACCATAGATAAAAGCGATTAGAAATGGTGAAATTCGATACTATATCACGTTTGTCTTCCTTCCACAGGTCCGCCCAGTTCTGAGGACCTTCCGAAGCACGTGCCGTATCTTATTGTCGGCGGCGGAACCGCTGCCTTCTCTGCCTTCCGAGCCATCAAGTCCAACGATGCGACGGCCAAGGTTTTGATGATCAGCAACGAGTTCCGCAAGCCCTACATGCGTCCTCCGCTGTCCAAGGAACTGTGGTACACGCCCAATCCCAACGAGGATCCCATCAAGGATTACCGCTTCAAGCAATGGACGGGTTCCGAGAGAAGGTGGGCTTTATTATTATAAACTATAGAAGACTTATTTATTAATTGATTCCTCAACAGCTTGTTCTTCGAACCTGACGAGTTTTTCGTGGACCCCGAGGATCTGGATGACAGTGTAAACGGTGGAATTGCCGTCGCTCAAGGATTCGCTGTCAAAAAGGTGGATGCGCAAAAGCGCATAGTGACTTTAAACGACGGCTATGAAATTAGCTACGACGAATGCCTGATTGCCACGGGCTGTGCGCCCAAGAATCTGACCATGCTCCGCGATGCGCCGCCCAGTGTGCTCGAAAAGGTGATGGTCTATCGCACACCCGATGACTTTGATCGCCTACGCAAGCTGGCGGCCGAGAAGCGTTCCATCACCATTGTGGGCAATGGCTTCATCGGCAGCGAGCTGGCCTGCTCGCTGGCCCACTATTCCCGAGAGAACAATGGCGGCAAGGTGTACCAGGTGTTCCAGGAGAACGCGAATATGTCAAAGGTTTTGCCAAACTACTTGAGCCGCTGGACGATGGCAAAGATGGAGGCGCAGGGCGTCTGCGTGATCCCGAATGCCAGCATTCGATCGGCGGTGCGAGATGAAAGCAATCTGAAATTAGAGCTGAACAATGGTATGACTTTAATGTCCGATATTGTGGTCGTTTGCGTGGGCTGCACACCCAACACAGAGCTGGCGGCGCCCAGCCGATTGGAGGTGGACAGGAGTCTAGGCGGATTCGTGGTCAATGCGGAGCTGGAGGCCAGACGGAATCTGTACGTGGCCGGCGATGCTTCCTGCTTCTTTGATCCTCTGCTGGGCAGACGGCGGGTGGAGCACCATGATCACTCGGTGGTCTCTGGTCGGCTGGCCGGCGAGAACATGACAGGAGCAAGTAAGTTATTAGTCTCTTTTTATACAGTCAACCATTTCCAGAATGTTAAAAACATGAAAAATTGTATTTTACAGTGTTAGCGAAATTGTTGACACGTGTGTCTAATACAAAAGTGTTAAAATGTGAAAAATAATTGTTAGCACACACAGCTCACTTGTGTTTTTTACATGTTTTATACACACTGTGTTTTTAACACAAATGAAAATTACATTTTACTGACATTAACGAGAAAATGAAAAACCAATATGGGCCATGATATCTTGAATATTTGTTTTAACCATTTCAAAGCATATATGAATTCTTATGCTCTGAAAACCGTGCATTTTGCGTACAGTTCTGACACTTTAAAAACAAAAAATCCTTTGTGTTAAAAATAAACTGTTTAAAAAAAACCTCGTGTTAATAACACGTCGTGTAAATAACACAAATGACATCTGTGTTATTTATGTTTCTAATGTATTCCCTTTTCCTTGCAGAAAAACCCTATCAACACCAGAGCATGTTTTGGTCCGATCTGGGTCCAGAGATCGGGTACGAGGGAATCGGCCTGGTGGACTCCTCTCTGCCCACCGTTGGCGTGTTCGCCCTGCCCTCCGATACCGCCAAGCGCGTAGACCAACTGTCCGATTCCACGGATCCTGAGGTGCCCACGATTACCACGACCACCAGTCAGTCGACTAAAAGCGATGATGCCAGCACTGCTGGCACAGATGGCGTTACCTGTGATCCCGATGAGGCGGCCAACTATGGCAAGGGTGTGATATTCTACTTGAAGAACGACAAGATCGTCGGCATCCTGCTGTGGAACCTCTTCAATCGGATAGGCTTAGCTAGGACAATAATCAATCAGAATAAGAAGTACGATGACCTCAATGAGGTGGCCAAACTGTTCGAGATTCATGCGTAAAGAACGGAGTGTCCTAAAGGACCTAGGAGAGAAACTTATCATTATCCTGGAAAGCTAATAAGTCAGCACCGAATGCCTTTAACTGTGTGTTTACTGTGTACATATGCAACTGCAACTAGATACGAAGAACGGCAATGGCGCAATGCAACAGAAATTTTAGTTTTATTATTTTTGGAATAAACCTTTTTTTGTAGTCGACGACATTGATACGGTTATGTGGCAGCAATATGCGTAACTGCATGTAAATATTTAAAAGTCGTGGATAAGAGAGGATATCTGTTGAATTGTGTGTAGTTTTTCCTAATAAATGAAGCACCAAAAAAAATTTATTGACACAAAATTGCACGTACCACCTGAATTGTATACATTTTGCATTTTCACTGTTAAAACTCTGGCTTTTCAATCATGAGGCATTCATTATTTAACTAGATTTAAGCGTTTTCGTCTTCATTTTGATTTAAATAAAGCATAGGAACTTTGAAACGCACTATGTTTTATTTTTCAAATTTTATTTAGATTTTAGATTAATATATTTTAAAAGGGATGTACGAATTCGAAATAGTATTATTTGGCAAATCATGTATTCAATTTATTTATTATCCGAATTGTCAACATAATTTCAGAGTCGAAAAATAAGTTATAAATTTTCAAAAAAATCCGAAATTTTTAAAGGCCATCTGCTTTTGCCTTTAAAAGGATTGCACCTGGCTTATTACGGTTACGCGGATTAGCGGTATGTGGTAGGCAGAATAATGCTAGGATCTTCAAAAGCCTGGTGTTAAAAATCGCGAAATATCACTAAAATCCTACCTGTATTTCTCCCAAAAGGTAACTTATTAGAGCAACTGGGATTACCACCCAATTGGTAGGTAGAACCTTAGGACTGGGTGACCCCCTCACAGGTAAATCTTTGAGCTATATAAACTTCACGCTAAAGTTACCAGGACATCAGTTCCTTTTCGACAGTCCAACCATGAAGTACCGCACCGTGTTGAACAAGCGCAAGCAAGCGACTCCTTCGCCAGTGAGAGAAGCATCCGCCGACGCATCCCTGGCCAACCACAGTGCCCTCGAGCTGGAGGCCGCCGCAGCTCTCCTGTTGCTTCGCTACCAATACGATCGACAGGCCTGCAACAATATTATATCCTACACCGAGTCCTGTTCCCCAACTCCTCCGCCTGCTGTCGCCGATAATACAACTCCCAAAGATCAGACTGTTCGTCCGCCGGTCGCCAGTCAGCCGCTGAAGAAACGTTCCATACCATCGCACCTCCTTAGAAGATCCGTGACCCCAGCCAAGTCAGACAGTTCGGTGAGCAATAAGTCGATAGTCAAGGCCAAAGCAAGGACTCCAATGCCCAGCAGTGAGCGCAGCTGCAACAGGTCCCTGCTCAAATCCTGCAGAAATATGATTCGCGAGTTCTTGGACAATCAGGAGATCATCTAAAAACCATTTATCAAAGTGTTTCTAGAGTTAACAAAAATAAGTTTAAGATTTAAGAAATCTTTTCACTGAACAACGCCGAAATAATTGAACATATATCGCCCAGTAAATTCCACGCCCAATTGCAAAGATAAAGTCGATCCCCAGGATCTCGGATTTCAGTTTTCAATTTATTTATTGCATATAAATTTGTTTCCTTTTTTTTATACATATATAAATTATGTATTGATCGAAAGATAACGTTTTCAATGGAAGAACAGGTATTGTGGCGACACTAGAGTGCTAATTATTAGCTATTGGCGGTGTTTAAACTTAAGGCGTACGAAAAACAAATAGAAAATTATCTTTACCATAGATCTACACAATAATTAATAATTACAGTTGCACTACAGGCTAAATGTATGAACGTGCATTGATGATATCTCTCTCCCAAACTCGCTTCATTCGGTTAAATATAATTAATAAAGTGCTTCAAATGTACATTTTCTATTGTTTCATTGTTTTTAGCTGGTGAGTGGGCGTGGTGGTGGTGGGTGGGGTGGTGTGTGGTGGTGGTAAGATCGTAAGCGTTTTACAAACTAAAGTTGTTAATGCTTAAATGAACACCTTCATTTGCTGCTACTGCTGCTGGGCTGCCATTTAATTGCAGCCGCCTAAGCTAACGTACAAATAATATAATAAAAGTAATGATAATAATAGAAAACTAATGTGTATACATATATGCTTGTGTGTATCATCATTGCTATATTAAAATGGAAGCCAATGTTTTTCTTTTTTAAATGTTTATAATGTGTATTTTCATGTTGCAGTGTATCTAGGGCTAGGGGCTCAATTGAAATTGAATTTTGAAAGCTCTCTTTTCAGGCTGATCATGAAGACAGAGCAACCCCATCCTTGCAGCACAAGGATCACAAAACTGTTTCAGTTTCGCGTTTATGGAAATGCTCTTGCTTCGGGACCATTCAGCCAATGTGAATCAAAGATAATTCTGTTGTTGTTATCACAAGAAATCAATTTGCCTTGTTGTATACAAAAAACTCTTTCTACGCTGATTTGTATATCAATTAACAATTTCACCAACAATTCAAATTTCATATTTCCTTCACTTTCGTTCGATTGTAACAATGTTTGTTGGTTTTTCGTTTTCATAAATTTGAAACCATTGTTGAGGCAACATTTGTAAAGCTCAAAGGTGGCAACACTTACGCGCTAGGCTACTGGCTAATTCTTACTTAATCGCTACTTTATTACTCATTTAATTGATTATGGTTAGGCTTTTTGTTTTTCTTTTTTTTTGATAAATGTAGAAATTGGCACATATTTGAAGGCTGCGCTGCGCCGGCTCAAGAAATCTACTTACAACAACGAAATTACATGCATTTTGCTTTCGCTTAGTTTAGCTTAATAAATACGCTTGATGTATAAAGTATATGTATGTATGATTGTGTGTTTTTTTGTTTATGCAGATGTGATTTCTATATACAGAGAGTCAGACAGGCCGTTTTTCATATGCAAAGAACTAGAAGGAGGTTTTCTTATTTTCAAATTGAATATTGAATACCAATTTATATGTAACGAAAAATAATTTCTTTTGAATTCTCATTTTAAGCTCCACTTTCTACAACGATTAGTTCTCCGTTTCGTTTGCATTCTGAGCGACCCATCCTAACCGAAAGGCATCCAGATCTTTGTCCAGCAGGGTGTCTGTTTATATGTTCTGTGCGCTTCTTGTGCTGGTCCCATTTTTTTCTCAGGTAATGTTGTGTGTGTGTTCGGAAGGGAAGGATACTGGATACAGGATACTGCTTCCTCTACTGCCGCATATGCCGGAAGGAATCCTCCGACTCGCCGCCATTACAATCGCTTTCCATTGGCACCGGCTGTTGTGCCTGTTCACTGGCCTGATCCATCGGCCTGGGTGAGCTGCTGCTGGCATTGGAAGCGTTGGGCTGTTGGTCATCCGGCTTGGGAGATTGGGGCTCCGCTGGCGAAGGGGCTCCCTGGTGATCGTTATAGCGTATCAGCTTGATGGTCGTCAGGCCGTCAGCGTTGCGGATGAGCCTGCAGAGCGGAAAATTGTATTAACACACTGGTTTATAGAGAATTCGAAGCAATCCACTTACGGATAGCAGTCCTCGTTGCTGGTGGCGTTGCTCTTGCTGCTCACACTCAGATCCGTGGGCTTCAGATCCTCGCCAGCGCTCTCCGAACCCGAACCCGATCCCGAGCCATTCTCCAGCTTCAGCGGGTGGAACTGGAACTTGTCGGGTCCTCCGACAGCGGACGGGGTGTTCAGGGCAGGGGAATTGGGTGGCGGACCAGCAGCCGCCGCCGAAAGGTAGTGGAAGGCTCCATTGATCGCGTGCATAAAGAGCGGCGATGTGGGCGGTGGACCGTAGGCCGCAGCGGCTGCTGCTGCCACCGCTGCCACGGCGGGCAGGCTCATGGGGCCATTCCGCGAGGCGGGACGCTGGGGCGATTGCTGCTGTTGCTGCTGCTGCGACTGTTGCTGGGTATTCCAATTCTGGCCAGCTGGACTTCCGGGCGCCTGATTGCTGCCCTGCGGCATTGATGATCCTCCATTGCCATTCGCCGGCGTCGTTTGCCGCAACAGCGATATATTCTTAATGTTCTTCAGCTCCGTGGGATTGCGCAGAAACTGATAGCAATGTCGCTCGCCCTGCACCTTGCGCAGTATGTTCACCCTGTAGTAATAGCGCAGGGCACGCGACATCTTGTCGTAGTTCATGGACAGATGATTCTTCTGGATGCCCCACAACTTGGCCAGCCCAGCGGGATCGACGATCTTGAAGACGCCCGTATCGCGGCACTTCCAGGCTATCAGATCGCTGTACTTCTGGTTGCGATCGTTCAGCAGCTGTTGCAGAAAGTCCCACAACAGGCGACCATCTATAATTGAGAAAGGGTAAAACAAGGGTAAGTTTTTGTTTAGGAAAGCAAGAGAGAACGCTATAGTCGGGTTGGTGTCCCGACTATCTAATACCCGTTAATCGGCTAAAGGGAGTGCGAGGGATATGGATATATAACATTTTGATTGAGCATAACTTTTCAATGAATGGTCCGATTTGAAAAAGGTCTTCTACATTTCGATAGGTATAAATATACGCAACAAAATTACATTTATACTTGTCGAAAATCTTTAAAGGAGTAAGCGCCAGATTAGTGGGCGATTGTGAGCGTTAGAGGGGGCGTGGCGCTCGGCTGAAATAAACTTGCGCTGCATAGGAAGCCCAAGAATATGTGTGGGAAATCTCAACCTTCTAGCTTTTGTAGATTCCGAGATCTCAGCGTTTATACGGACGGACAGACAGACGGACATGGCTATATCGACTCGGCTATACTATATATATACTTTATAGGGTCGGAAATGCTGCCTTCTCCCTGTTACATACTTTTGCACGAATACAATATACCCTTTTACTCTACGAGTAACGGGTATAATAACTTGATTTCACAACTTACTTGTATTGGGCTCCGAGTTCTCGGGGAAGAACTCCCTTTTGGCTTTGTACATATAACTGGGCGTCGTCGGTGCGGAGATGGATCCTCCGGCAGGGGCCACCACTGGGCCAGCAGTATTATCCAGGGTCAGTTTCTGGGGCAATTGTTGCTGCTGCTGTTGTTGCTGCAACTGTTGCTGCTGCGCCTGAGCTGCTGCTACGGCGGCCACTGCAGCAGCCTGTTGCTGTTGCTGCTGTTGTTGCTGCTGGGACCACGAGTTCACAAAGTTATTCGTGAGCTGTTGCGTCCAATTCGGCTTGATGTCTTTCAGTATCGGTGTTCCCGGCGGACTGGCCGTGCTGTAGGACGGCGGTGCCGGTGGCATCTTGCCCAAGCCACCACTGGTCTCCGAGTACTCCTCCTCGGAATCGGAGTGATTGCTGCTGGCACTGCTAATGCCCTTCATGGGCATTATGTTTGGCTGCGAGGAGCCATTACTTCCGGTGCTGCTGGAGCTGCTCGACGATGTGGGATTGCTTGTGGTAGCTCCTCCGTTTGCTGGAACGACTCCACCTGCTGCTGCTCCTCCTGTGGCACCTCCTCCATTCTGATACGGTGCCTGCGGTGGACTACTCGCCTGGGAATCCACCGAGGGCGGCGGACTCAGCGTCACCGAATTCGGTGCCATAAAATGATGACCCGCCAGACCGTGTGGCGAATTGTGGAAGGGACTGTTCTCCGGCGGAGCATTCAGCGGTGGCCACGTCGGTGTCGGCGGATGACTGTGCGGCGACAGGGGATAACGACTGGTGGGCGTCACTGGACTGTTGGGCAGATGCCACTGCATCATGTGGGACTCTATGATCAACATCTGCAGCACATTGTGTAGCACATCCCCGGCACCCGGACACCGGTGACCAAAGTCCGCTCGTGTCAGCAGGCACAGCGCCTTGCCGTTCATTTGGAAGAGATCAAAGTCGAGCTTGGGGAGATCGAATTCGCGGACACAGAAGCGCAGGAAGACGAGCACATCCTCGCGGCTCCAGAGGCGCGGATCGGAGGGCAGGGACGGGGGCAGTTGTGTTTTGAGCTCCGCCAGCTGGCTGGACGGCGCCGGGGGGCAGCGCCAGAGCACATCGCTCCAGATGCCGGGATTCAGCGAGTTCAATGATAACTGTACTGGGAGCATTTTCATTTTGGACATGCAGCCACAGTTTGTAAGGAAGTGTCCTGGTTCCTGGTCTGTAGGAGCCACTCGAGTTGCCTTCAAATTGTGTTATCTAAAAATGAAGAAGGAGAAAAAGGTTAAAAATTTATAATTGCCAAAAGGAACTTAATCGTAAAAGCCATTAAAATAGAAGAGGCTTATGATTATTATTTACATTTTCAAGATTACATACTAAAGCAAATATTATTAAATGGGGATAATCCATAAGTTATCCAAACTAAAACTTGATATTCATTTCTTTCAAAATTTAGTCCGTAACCGATAAAAATAGTAATATGTGAGTAAGTGAATACTACTTTCTCGTATATATATATTTTCAAGTTTTCATTGCATTATTCTATCTTCGTTTGAGATATTGCCCTGAGTAATCCAACTAAATGTTGTGCATCATGAATCACATCCATAGAAAAACACTGAACTGAAACTGAGCTGAACACTGAAGTTATCCATTTTACTTAGATTTTTTAATAATTTGTTCCTTTTAAAATCCTTTGGAAGGTGTACTTTTTAGATGGTGTTATGCATTCAACAACTTGTCAATTTTTTAGCGATCATAAAACCCATCATACATGATTTCACAAAACCATTTGAATCATTTCTTTCGAAACATTTTATTTCTTTTAAATACTGGGTAAATCACTCATGGAAAACTACCACAGATTCTGGCATGGATGCCGAAACACACTGTTCTTCTGGCGGTTTAAAGTTCACTACTGAGAAATCTCCATCGCAAAAGGATGTGGCCAATGGATGTTGTTGATCACTCGTCGACACACTTCCGCCAGAGAAATATCTAAGCGGACACATCACCTAGCCTTTTGGCAGGGCAGGGGGATATACACTCTGATCCCGCTCCCGACGCCACACATACCGATCCAATCCAATCCGTTTCGATTCGATCCGAGGAGAGCGACACTCAGACAGATATTCGCATTCCAACCAAATCAGATTTCTTCATAATCGTCGCGGGGCAGCCGATGGATGCGGATGAAATAAACAAATAATATATCTCTCCTCCGAACGCCGAACGCAAGAATAACAAAAACAACAGCGGCGACGGAACGATCTATTTGTGCGTGTGTATGGACGATGATGATGATATAGCGATATATACTATAGCGGGCAAGCGCATCCGAACACTACTTGGCGCAAACTGGCGGCGGGATCTCGATCTCGGAGAGCCAAGAGCGTGACTCACTGGCAGCGACGGCAGAGGGAGAGCCGTCGCAGCAGCAGAGGATCATCAGGCAGCGGCAGAGGTCTGGACCGGACCTCTTTCTCTCTTCCCCTGCCTTCCCTTCCCTTCTTGTTCCTCCTCGACATCTCCGCTCAGCGGGCATCTTCGGCAGCGGCAGCAACACACCCCCGCAGCGACCGCGGCGCAGGCAGACAAGAGGGAAAAAGAGCAAGAGCGGAGAAGATCGTTCCAAAAAAAAATATTATAAAAAAAGATTCAACCACAACGAACTAGAGAATGCGCTACACGGAGACAATAATTTAACACCTGACGATCATAAAATATCTTATTGATCTTACTTCCCCTACTTTTTTTAATGGCTTTAATAGTTATAGTATAGTTGGCGCCCAACGTGGGGCCTTACCTTAAATCCCCTTTAGGCATCTTCCGCTTTCATATCCGACATATCCGCTTGTCGACAATTCACACCTCAAGCTATATAAATTCAAAAATTTCCACAACCTTGGTTTCAATTTCACTTCCCGGTTATATTTTCGAAAGTTTCATTAAAGGTTGCCAAAAAGAAAAGAATAATAAAAATAACCATTCGGAAGTGCAAATTAAAAGTACATTCTTAGAGCATTTCTTAGTCGCCAAAGTCTTTCAGCAAAAGCTTTTTAATTGTAAATTTCTCAATATGGTAATTTCCACCAAAAATGTGAGATCTCTTCGGGTGTATGGGTGTGCATGGGCGGCAGTACACTGCCATTCCGGATGTGTACAAACCAAACGCAGACACACAACCGAAACCGAAAGACGTATACACACATGGCGGTGATCGTTTGCTGTAAAGATTTCAACATAAGCGAATGTATTGATGGCACACCAGCCACCAAGGGGTAGAAATGTGCGGGGCGGGGGCCCGGGGGGAGCGGCCCAGTCGAACGTCTCTCGAAACTTGAAAGCCGTGCCCATTGCCCACTCTCGTATCTTGCTGCAGCAGCAAACGGAAGTGCACATTCCAAACAGAAAACCCGTTTCCAAAAGCAGCAGCACCCGAGGAAGAGGGAGGGAGTGGGATGGGAGTAGCCCGTGTTGGAGAAAGACGCTGCTGCGATGGGGCAACTAATAAATCCGCCAGTGGGTAAAGAGAGCAGCAAGTCTCAGTCGGTGGATCGAGATGAAGATGAAGAGACGGGGATCTTGAGGAGAAGGTAAGGGAGTAGCATAAGCCAAACGAATGGCACCCTGTTCACAGCAAAAGTAAGCAATCAAGTGGTCAGGGAATTCACAATATCAATATTCCTTTGGATATATATCATTAACCATGAAACTACTTTACAAATTTCTTAATTTTCTTTTAATAGAATTTTGGTTTTTTTTTTACTGTTTGGGGAATTATTTACTATCCTTCCTTACTATTTCCTTGTCCTGTGCTGTATCCCACATATATAGCCGGACCAGACATTTTCGCTGCACACATGTTCAGATTTATCTCGCATCACTCCCCGACTGACTCGACTGCCTTGCTCTCCCGAAAGAAACTTCCTCATTCTCCGGGAAGCGCTTTCAACAAGTGAGCGCTGGCGAGAGAACATGAAATATTTGTGATGGCGAGATGGGGAAAAAAGGAGGTGGTTGGGGGGAGGGGAGCACGATGACGATGATGGGGATGATAATAATCATCTTGAATATTTTATTGTGCATGTACATGGCTTAGAGGGGGTCTGTCTATCCGATCCACAACCGATCCGATCTATTTGTTTTCGAAGAGAGCTAGAGGTAAATGCTGATGCCCCGCTGCTGATTGTGCGCACTCCACACACAGACAGACAGACACACAAACACTCGGACAAAAACGATCCTACGTGTTATTTCGGTTGCCACAACACATGGTTGAGTTTTCACTAAAATAAAATCATATATTCTAGTGCACACATGTTCCGCAGCACCAGCAACACAAAATAAATAAACATTCGGCTAAAAGTTGGAGTCGGTGGCACGTAGTAAAATGACAAATGAATGCTCATCAGCATAGCTACAAAAAGAAAACAATAAGGAAGGGGCAGGGCAGCAGTTAAGGAAGAAGCAGAGTTGGGGATATACACTTGAAAAACTGAAGGGAAAAATATTTACAAGGAACCCAATGTGGTTCATCGATTGTAAATAAACTGAAAAAAATAGTTGGCGCCCAACATGGGGCCCTGCATACTGAGCTGCAAATCGCTGAAAATCTTTGAAAAATGTATTATTTTAAAAATAATATTACAGATTTCTTTCAGTGCCACAGTTTGGAGCAGAGGGAGAGAGGCAGAGTCGTCTCACGCACGCAATAAGAGTAAAATATTTCTAAATCTCGGCGCAGGAGGCGCGGCAGAGAAGAATCCGAAAAGAGCAGCATTCACTCACCTCTCTTTCTGGCACAACTCGAAATCAACTCAGGCACACAGGTAGTTCAAAATCGGAGGTATGGTATGCGAACGATCTCGAACCGGTTTCAACGGAAATTACAAACGAAAATTATAAAACGATCAGTTTAGAAAAGAAAGAAAAAAGAAATAAATGCCAGGGGGAGTGGAAGGAAAGCTGGAAAACCAAAAACATACAAATGGGTTAAAAGAATTTCATGGGGTCTTTTCTACAAGTATTTGCAATGTTTCCGTTTTTGGCGATGGAAAAAAAAGAGTGAGAAGGTGGAGGAAGGCGTCTTTCGTGTGTGGGATCGTGGGATCGGAAACGCTAGAAAATGGGACATGGAAGATCTGAAAGGCGGATAAGGAAGTCGAGGAGGTAAGAGTTCCTACAGAAGAGAATAAAAAGGACAGCAATCAGATAAGATTAAGTTAAACGTTCATGCCAGCTTGGATTTTAGCACTATTAACCCTATCTACTGTATGAAATCTAAGTAAAGGCTTCCGAAAGAATTGAAATTTAAATTTAATGAACCAAGGCCTTTTATGGAAAAAATTTTAATTATTTGGATATTCTTAAGTAAATTCCTTCACAAAAAGAGCAAAGGATTAAGCAAAGAAATATTAACTGAAGAGTAGCTTCCAGCTCAGATTTCACTTATAATCCTATACTATAGTACTTCCCTATCGCTTAGCCCCCTAAGATGACACTCGAATGGCATTTTTGATCGGCACTCCTAGACGCAGCTGGAATTCCAGCTTGCAAGTGAATCACCCCAGTGCCGGGAGTGCAGGAGTTGAACGTTAATGAGTAATTTCCGCAGGCGCATCCTCTTCTCTTCGGAACCCCCGCCACGCCCCCGCCCCTCTGCCGGCACACATACTGTGTGTGTGCATCAAGTGCTGCGCAGTAAGAACGATGGGAAAATAAGAAAATCTGATAGCCAGAAAAGACGGGGAAAAGGAACCCGAAGAGAGACAGAAGCGACAGCAGCCATGGCGTATTAAGATTAACGGCTCAACGCTCGATCGAAGGGAAGGTGCAAGAAAGAGAGAGTGCGAGGAATGCTGTCTCCTTTTCTACACTGAGAGACTTTTCAAAAATTATAAAAAATATTTTTCGCAATTCAAAACCTTAGGTAGTATTTATCCAAATATTTATTAGAACATTATTTTTATACCCGTTACTCGTAGAGTAAAAGGGTATACTAGATTCGTGCAAAAGTATGTAACAGGCAGAAGGAAGCGTTTCCGACCCTATAAACTATATATATTCTTGATCAGGATCACTAGCCGAGTCGATCTAGCCATGTCCGTCTGTCCGTCTGTCCGTCTGTCTGTCTGTCCGTCTGTCCGTATGAACGCTGAGATCTCGGAAACTATAAAAGCTAGAAGATTGACACTTTGCATGCAGATTCTAGGAGTTCCTACGCAGCGCAAGTTTGTTTCAAAAGAGTGCCACGC